TTTTGTTGAATGTGCCCAGGCCTCGTGACCTCTGTCTAAAGGCACAATTTTACGCCTTGGCTTTTAACACCAACTGGAGCACCTGGAGGAAACCTACACAGACACAGGGAGAAACATGCCAGACTGATCTAAAGATGTGACAGAGGCTGAAAACCCAGACGTGAAAACCGGAAAAAGAAGCAGCAGTTTCAGAGTCAGGAACTAGAGACATGGGTTTTATTACTGTCCTGTTGGGGTTTGAAAGTCAGGGACCCCAGCTTTAATCGTCTCAGACTGTAATACTTATTTCACCTCAATGACAGATGATGTTTTCTTCCGCTGCGTTAAAATTGAACCTCACAAACACCTGCTGCATTTTAATAAAACCAAATGAAAATTCTTCCCCTCGTCTTCTTCCTCGTTGTCTCATTGAATTGGCAAAACCAAAATGAAAGCAGTGCGTTTCCACGGCGACAGGCAATCTGGCGTGCGGCGCTTAAGGCGGACAGGGCAGTGTTTAAGGCGGTCGGAGGCCAAAGTCATTTCTCCCGTTCAAGCAGACGTACGCAAAATCGTCATCAGCTTGCAGTGTACGCTCTCTCTGATGGTCTCTTATCCCGCTCTCGCTGGTCTCCCTCTCTGGTGTCTTTCTGTTCCCTCTCTGGTGTCTTTCTGTTCCCTCTCTGGGCACACTATGGTATTCCTGGTCTCTCTGTCTGTTCTCTCTCTGGTCATGCTCTGTTTTCCCTGTTCTCTCTATGGTCTTTCACTGTTTTGCCTGCATGAGCTCTCTGGATCTGGCCTTTTTCTGGTCTCTGTCCTCTCTCTGGTCTCTCTGGTCTCTCTCTGGTCATTCTGGTCTCTCTCCTTTCTCTGGTCTCTCTCTGGTTTCTCTCTGTCCTCTCTCTGGCCTCTCTGGTCTCTCTCTGGTCATTCTGGTCACTCTCTCTGGTCTCTCAGTCCTCTCTGGTCTCTCTCTCTGGTCTTTCTGGTCTCTCTGTCATCTCTCTGGTCTATCTCTGGTCTCTCTCTGTCCTCTCTCTAGTCATTATGGTCTCTCTCTCTCTGGTCTCTCTCTGGTCTCTCTCTCTGGTCTCTCAGTCCTCTCTGGTCTCTCTCTCTGGTCTTTCTGGTCTCTCTCTCTGGTCCCTCAGTCCTCTCTGGTCTCTCAGTCCTCTCTGGTCTCTCTCTCTGGTCTCTCAGTCCTCTCTGGTCTTTCTGGTCTCTCTCTCTGGTCTCTCAGTTCTCTCTGGTCCCTCAGTCCTCTCTGGTCTCTCAGTCCTCTCTGGTCTCTCTCTCTGGTCTCTCAGTCCTCTCTGGTCTCTCTCTCTGGTCTTTCTGGTCTCTCTCTCTGGTCTCTCAGTTCTCTCTGGTCTCTCAGTCCTCTCTGGTCTCTCTCTCTGGTCTTTCTGGTCTCTGGTGCCCATCTCTGGCCTCTGCTCTCTTTGTTCCTGTGACTGCTCTCAGACTTATTGTGAAAGTTGTGACCCTTTTATCGTGACACTTTCCTTTGGCTAAAATCTGACACAGGTCCAAACCACATGCCAACCTTTCCCACTCTTGCCGTTTCAACGCGGGTCCAAAAACACGTAGACACACCTCACCTCTTCCTTCACACGATACAAGCCCATCGCATTCATTTCTTTCCTCTGCATCTGTACTATCGGCTCATTTCTATGGGGCAGGGCTCTTTGTGAATTCATAATAGAATGTTAGCATGCGCACAGCGAGGAGCTAGCGTAGCGTTAGCATCACTTAGCCCATAATGTGATTTCCCATTAGATTCTGAGACTGCTCCGTGAACAGATGGGTCCGAGCTGAATGGAAATGATTTTTAAGAAGGTGACAGCTAGTGTCATCCATGCATTTGGTTCCTCTGTGTCAGATGTGTCGATTATTCTGTCTATAAAGTTAACTTGTTGTAAAGCTGGGGTACCTAACTTCCAAACCACCAGGTAAGACAATACATGTAACTCCTGGCTCTAAAGTAGTTGCTTCTTTCACTATTTTTCATTTGTTTCTGGCCTAATATCTCTCTGGTCTCTCTCCCTGGTCTCTCTCTGGTCTCTCTCTGGTCTCTCTCTGGTCTCTCTCCCTGGTCTCTCTCTGGTCTCTCTCTGATCTCTCTCTGGTCTCTCTCTGGTCTCTCTCCCTGGTCTCTCTCTGGTCTCTCTCTGATCTCTCTCTGGTCTCTCTCTGGTCTCTCTCTGGTCTCTCTCTGATCTCTCTCTGGTCTCTCTCTGGTCTCTCTCTGGTCTCTCTCTGGTCTCTCTCTGGTCTCTCTATGGCCTCTCTCTGGTCTCTCTCTGGTCTCCCTCTGGTCTCTCTCTGGTCTCTCTGGTCTCTCTCTGGTCTCTCTCTGGTCTCTTTCTGGTCTCTCTTTGGTCTCTCTTTGGTCTTTCTGGTCTCTCTGGTCTCTCTGGTCTCTCTATGGCCTCTCTCTGGTCTCTCTCTGGTCTCTTTCTGGTCTCTCTCTGGTCTCTATGGCCTCTCTCTGGTCTCTCTCTGGTCTCTCTGGTCTCTCTCTGGTCTCTCTCTGGTCTCTTTCTGGTCTCTCTTTGGTCTCTCTTTGGTCTTTCTGGTCTCTCTGGTCTCTCTATGGCCTCTCTCTGGTCTCTCTCTGGTCTCTTTCTGGTCTCTCTCTGGTCTCTATGGCCTCTCTCTGGTCTCTCTCTGGTCTCTCTCTGGTCTCTCTCTGGTCTCTTTCTGGTCTCTCTCTGGTCTCTCTCTGGTCTCTCTCTGGTCTCTCTCTGGTCTCTCTCTGGTCTCTTTCTGGTCTCTTTCTGGTCTCTCTCTGGTCTCTCAGATCAGGAACCAGTTTGTAAAGAAAATACATCCCATTTAACATACACCACGACTTCTGCGTCATGTTAATTATTATTTTAGATAAATATATATTAATTATTATGAAAGACTTCATAACTCCTCCCCTGACACTCGCACATGCAGAGATCCATCAGATTCTGTTATTCTGTGTAACTAGGGCAGCCTTTAATCCCAGTTATAACCAATCAGTCTCGCTGCATTATTGACTCATTGGCTTAACTGTGTTTCAATATTTCAGCGAGTAAACTTTCAGAAACGCTTCATTCCCAGTTCGACTCCCTCTTGAAGCCACTGTCCTCATTTCAACATGACAGAAATCAGAGTTGTTTTTTTCTCCATGAAACAAAGACGCATTGGACAAAATATGATTTAATTTTGAGCTGTGTGAGCCTCATTTCCACTGAGCAAAAACGCAAGACAGTGAGACATTGAGATCGAAAGTGGGCGGAGATTCAGAGTTTTGACGTAAAATCCACTTTTCTCCAGGGCCATAGGGATTTGGAATAAAGTCTTTAGCTCTGTATGTTTATGAAACTTTGGCCTCAAAGTCAGTCCAATCTGGAAAGACTCAAGACTACGATTGCATTAGAATAATTATTGTCAAGATACATTAATAAACACCCGCGGACATGACATTTTCACAGTAGGAGTTAACAGCGTGTAAGCGTTGATATCAACCCTGTGATATTGTCCAGATTTGAGCCCTCACAGCTGACCAATCAGGAGCCTTCTGTCACTAAATTTAGCAAGAGTGAACGGACCAGGGCCGGACCTGATTCACTTTCAGGCTAAAATTTGGTTTTCGAGTTAGTTTTAATCGGCCAAACACTGTGGTGAGGTCCGCACTCGGTCAGTCCGCTCCTGAAGAACCATCTTAGATCCTGGTCCGTCTGGAATTAAGTAAAAAAACACCAATAATGCATTGCTTTAATATCTATCGAGTGACGTTGCCATGGTTACGCCGCGGCTCCCTGTGGTCTCTTTCATAATGAAGTCTCGGATCAATAACAGGAGGTCACGATCTCTGTTCTTTTATTCACTTCAACAACCAAACTGTAATAAATTCTCTTCACAAAATAAACAGCTGTTTTCACTCCGTAGACCTGGGTTTTCAGACCAAAATGAGAAAGGACGGTGTGTTTTTTGGACCCGTGTCAGTTTTTTGCCACATAGAAGACTTTTATAAGGTCTGTTTCTAGTCTCTCTCTCTAGTCTCTCTTTCTGGTCTCTCTCAAGTCTTTTTTCGGTCTGTCTCTAGTTTCTCTCCGGTCTTTTTCTGGTTTGTCTCTCTCTGGTCTCTCTCTCTGGCCTCTCTCTGGTCTCTCTCTCTGGCCTCTCTCTGGTCTCTCTTTCTGGCCTCTCTCTCTTGTCTCTCTCTCTGGCCTCTCTCTGGTCTCTCTCTCTGGCCTCTCTCTGGTCTCTCTTTCTGGTCTCTCTCTCTTGTCTCTCTCTCTGGTCTCACTCTGGTCCCTCTCTAGTCTCTCTCTCTGGTCTCACTCCGGTCTCACTCTCTGGTCTCTCTCTCTGGTCTCACTCTGGTCTCACTCTCTGGTCTCTCTCTCTGGTCTCACTCTGGTCTCACTCTCTGGTCTCTCTCTCTGGTCTCACTCTGGTCTCTCTCTCTGGTCTCTCTCTCTGGCCTCTCTCTGGTCTCTCTCTCTGGCCTCTCTCTGGTCTCTCTTTCTGGCCTCTCTCTCTTGTCTCTCTCTCTGGTCTCACTCTGGTCCCTCTCTAGTCTCTCTCTCTGGTCTCACTCCGGTCTCACTCTCTGGTCTCTCTCTGGTCTCACTCTCTGGTCTCTCTCTCTGGTCTCACTCTGGTCTCACTCTCTGGTCTCTCTCTCTGGTCTCACTCTGGTCTCACTCTCTGGTCTCTCTCTCTGGTCTCACTCTGGTCTCTCTCTCTGGTCTCTCTCTCTCTGATATCTCTCTCTCTGGTCTTTCTCTTTTCTCTCACTTCTGTCTGAAAAATCTGACCAAAAGATGTGACCAGAAAAACCTGTGAAAACCCGTCAAAGAAGCAAACTTTTTTTTTCGCAGTTGAATTTTATTAGTGTTTGAAAGTTAGGGACCTCAACTTTAAATTAGCATACCATGACTCAGCGTTCCAGTCTCTGCGCCAACGATCTCACTTTATAACCTAATTTGTGAGTTAATGGTCATTGTTCAGGACTGTAGAGGCGCAGTGACGGCTTTATGACCAGCTGGATCTTTAACTGCATCTGTGTTTTCACCTCCACCTGCGAATCTGACCAAGCACTAAACCATGCGCTGCTTTCTGACGATAGGTCTAGAGTCATTTTGGGGAACTTTCCTCGCCTGGTTTTTTGTGTGTAAAATTTCTCATAAAACAGTCATCTTTGGATGCAGAGTCAAACAGTATACTTTGTTTTTTTTTCAGTACAACCTGGGGTTTTAGAATATTCATATTTTGGAGTTGTCATATCAATTATATAATAATTATGGAATCATGAAGACAAAGACAAAAATGAAACGGAAAATCAATTTCACAAAATTGTATTGAAAAAACACAATGAAATGCTATAAACAACTTTTTAGACCCCATAGAAATGTTATTTATGGTCTTGGGGATAAGGGGGAAAAATATTGAACCTGTGACTATTAGAATTTGTACAAAATTCCTCTATAAAAGCCAAAAACGCTGTACTCCTGATGCCCTTCCTCAAGCAGTTTGTCTATGAGGCTGTGGTTGCTTCTGTATCACAGCGGTAAAATACACAAAACAAAACAAACTAAGTCAAAAAAAAAAAAAAAAACATCTAATTTATATATACAAATACATTATATACACATAATATCATTTTACTGTATTTATTATTGTCTATTCTCAATAATGTGCACTCCTGGCTGCTCTGAGCGCTGCAGCAACAAGTAAACACAGGAGTGAGAGATCCTACTCTCTGACGATCTTTGTGCGAGTCCCGTTTGAGTAAACAACTTTATGGTGCGTTCAGACCAAACGCAATTTCTGCGGCCAAAGCGGCGGGTCTACATTGACACAACATGGGGGACGCGCGCCAAGGAGCGGCGAGAGATCACGCGGCGCGATTCGCGCGGCCAGAGCGGCGCGAATTCGAGCGTTTCGCGCGATTCGCGCGGCGTGTTTTGAGATGTCAAGCGTTTTGACGCGCGTTTCGCGCGATTCGTGCCTCCAACGCGGCCGCCGCTAGAGTTGAACAATGTTGAACTTTTTGGGAGAATTCGCGTGTGCCGACCAATCAGGAGCTTTCTCCTCCAGTGACGTAGTGACGCATTTCACTACCGGAAAAACACTGGTAGATGACAGCTATGGAGGACACGTCAATTGCTCAGGTCGGTGCTCATTCTGAGCTATATAACACTGCGGACCACAGCTACCGGGACCGAAATAAAAAGAAGCTTGCTTGGAGGAGGGTTAGCGAGGTGGTTGGTGTCTCGGGTAAGTTATTTTAACTTTTCAATGTTGTAAATATTTCCCCGCGAAAAAAACTAGCTACTTTCCTGCTTACGAGTTGATGTGTTTATTCAGTGGAAGTTTGCAAAAAGCGGTGGAAGAATCTGAGGGACACATATGAGGTGCTGAAGGTCGGTGTCATGCAGCAAACGGAGACCTCGAACAGTTGGAAAAAATACATTTCTTTCCTTTCTATTACCCACATTTTGCTGACTTTTACATTTATATTGCTTTCTGTGTATGCATTTCTTTTAATGCTTTCTTAACATCATGGCCAGGTGAAAATAGGCATTGGCTATTTTCAAACCAGGATAGATCTTGATCATGTGTTGTGTTAAATTTCACTTTTCCCTTTTATATGAACAAATCATTTAAATGTACATAATAATGTACATTATTATGTACATATAAATGTCATAAGCGCAATGTACACATGATATGAAATAATTGTATTTCTTGTTTTCTTCTGGCGCAGATACTGCCACCACCACACAAGGTGAGACATCTTGGCCTGAGCTGCC